GTTTCTAAAATTCAAACGATAGGATTACTATTATGTGATGAAATCTCAGTATAATCATGGAATTGAAGTAAGGCTGTAAGGAGTGAGCAGTTTAGCTTGTCTGTCAGTTTATGATGTCAGTTAATTTGATCATTATCAAAATAAAAGCAAATACATTTTTTAAAAATAAGGTAAAATTTATTATTATTTTTTCAGGCCTGACTCCTCGTTTGATTAAAATTGCTCCTGCTTGTGCTATTATGATCAGTACATATGAATATGGAAAGAGTTTTTTCCAGAAACAAAATGCTCGACAGGAATACCAGTAATGCTTTTTCAACTCGAGATAACTATAGTCAAAAATAAGATAAACTTAATTTTTCACCATTATCTTACAATGATTTTATATCATTTTATAGTTCACTTCTCTATAAGTGAACACTAATTTCTCCTTGCATCTATGACATAATCCTAATTTTGAAAGTAAATTATTATTCTAATTTTTGAAATATTAAAAAAGGTGTTTTGGAAATCACAAGCACTAAAAGGTATTATTCCTTAGCTGCGAAACCAGCAATCTCTGGGAGCTTAATATTGTAGGTTTTGAAGTAACAAATTTATTGACAGTATGTTTAATCAACAAATTCAAAAATGTGTGCTGACAGAGTATATAGAAGAAAAATGCCCATCTTTTATGCACATTTAAATCATGTAATAATTATTTCCTAAAGTAGGTAATAGAAGACAGTCTTTAACATTAACATTTATCAAATATTGCCTATTAGATATTTTTTTTAATTCATTTGAGTTCATTTTTTAAATCTTTATGTTTTTACCCCATTACTATTGTAGGCCTCATTTATTAGGGTTTTTCTTAATTTTCTCTTTCTGAACCAAATACAGTCATTTTTGTGATATAATTGCTGCTATTTTTGATAAATAAAAATCTTGTATTATCTACTGTTTTTTCAAGAGAGAGAATTTCAGGTGATTTTATTAAATGTTCTCTTCTGTAAAATTTAGCACCAGAAAAAAATGTCACATTTAAATATGTACTTGTAAAAATGTGTTGGAACTAGAAGAACCTCTGGTTTCAGTCATCCTATATTTAAAGTCATCGCTATCTCTGAAATTATCTAGAATCTAGCTTCATAAGCTATAGGTCACATCCCCCCAAAATGTTAGCAACAGTGAACAAAGTTTTAAATATTCAGTATTCAGTCATAAGAAATCCAAAGTGTTTGGGACAACACTCACCTGTACTGCATTTCTCCCGCAAAGCAGATGGCAAGTGAAAAACAGTTCCAGAAAGCTGTCCTCTACGTCACTGGTTTCAGTCTTTCACACCTGTGGGCCAGCACCTGGCCCCTATCACCTCCACAGGAAGGCGGCAGTTAATAAGGTCTGTGTAGACAAGTCCGTCTCCACCATTGCACACTCAGCCAACTGTTCCATGTCAGTCCTATTGCTTGTTCTAACAAAACTGAAATTAAAATACTTCACCATTCACAAAATATTTTCAAAAGGTTCCTTGATTTTTTGTTTGTCACATTAAGTATACTAGTTTAAGGGACTAAATAGCAGTTTCCTTGTGGAAATAACAATGTACAAAAATAACAATAATGACTATAGATTCTAGCCTGTTCTAAGTAATTTAGCGGATAACTAAAGAGAGAAATAAAATGGCACAATGGCAAGACAAGAAATGATTTTTAATATTAGTTTTTCAGGATCTATATACTATAAGAAAAAGCACTTTATTGTACTCAATATGTATTTAATGAAAATGTAAAGCATTTCTTCTGTTAAAATAAAGTGTTATGTGTAAGCAACAAATTTCTTTAGTAGTATTTTGTATAATAGCTGAAGAGTGCTTTATATGTTTCATCAGAAATAAACTACATAGGATAGTGTGTGTTCTTTTGTATTTATTTGTGTTAGTTTTCTTAAGTTTGTAAGTCTATAAAATTAGTTATGTGACTTTAACTTCTGTTTTCATTAAAATACTTTTGCTGTAAAAAATTATCACAGTGCTTGTAGCTTGTCTTCCTATAAGCTGTTAATGATACAGACAAACACATATTTTTGAACAGAGCTATTCAAAAGTTTTAAATGTATCTTTCTTTTGCCAAAATGTTTCTTTTTTGCTGTTTTGTTTGGGGGCCACACCAGCTGCGCTCAGAATTTACTCCTGGCTCTTGTTCAGGGATCCCTCCTGGTGGGCCAGAGATTATATGGGGTCTGGGGATCAGACTCTGGTTGGCTGCATGCAAGGCAAGCACCTAACCCACTGTACCACTGCTGCAGCTCACTATGTTTATATTTTAATAATTGGTGGAAGACAAAAGTTTAGAACTGTGGGAACTGGAGTGACAGTGTAGTGGGTAGAGTGCTTGCTTTGCATGCGGCCAGCCTAGGCTTTATCTCCAGTACCACATCTGGTCCCATGGGTCCTTCCAGGAGTGATCCCTGAGTGCAGAGCCAGGTGTAAGTCGAGCACTGCCGGATGTGACCAAAATTTTAAAAATAAATAAAATTTAGAATTCTGCTTTCTAAGGACCACATATTTCAATCTGTTATCATTTATAAATACTAGAAGAGAAACATCACCAAGCACTTTGTCCACAGAAGTGGTGGAAAGTGCTTATAATTTATCATTAAAATAACCTCCTAAAATAACTTTACCATAGTTTGGGGGATTTCTGGGTTTGTTGTTTTGTTGTTGTTTCTTTGACACTCATTATACTCTGTATCTAAAGGAAAGGGAGCTTGAATTTAAACTTTACAATTTATGTATAAAGCTTTTGTTAGTAAGATATCAACAGAAAGGATTTTAATTTGTAAGTGTGTTCTTGATATACTGTTTCTAAAAGAAAATAGTTTAATTCAGTTAATGGTGATTTTTCTAATATACAAATTGCTCAAGCGGGCCCAGTAACGTCTCCATTGGAGACTTTGTTGTTACTATGTTTGGCATGTCGAATACGTCACAGGGAGCTTGCCAGGCTCTGCCGTGCGGGCGAGATACTCTCGGTAGCTTGCCGGGCTCTCCGAGAGGGGCGGAGGAATCGAACTCGGGTCGGCCATGTTGGCTGCGTACAAGGCAAACGCCCTACCGCTGTGCTATCGCTCCAGCCCTTATATATACAAATTAACAATTTAAAAATGTTAAGAAAGTTCTTTCTGAGGTGGTACATCTTTTCCACCTTCCACATAATACACAGTTGACTGGAGGTAGATAATAGAGTCAAGATAAATTTTTCTCTTTACTCTCAAATTATCATTCACCACAAGTTGAGACCCCCTATGGGGAAAGGTAGCGTAAAAGGTGCTGGGGACAGGCAGTCAGGCAGTGCCTGCCTGCTGTCAGGGTTTCAGAGCTTTGACGGGTAGAAGTTTGTGAGGGGAGTGAAGAGCAGAATTTAATTCCATCTCAGTGGTTTGAACAAAGGCTATTCGAACAACAATGTCTTGGATCGTATTGGAAATGTAGTCAGAAGTTCCTGTGCTAAAGCATGAGCAGGCAACAAGAAATTGGGATAACTAATCAGAATGTATTATTTTCTTTTTTCTCCAACACCAGTATTTTTTTTTTCTCAGTATTTTTAATGTAGCACTGTAGCACTGTCCTGTTCATCAGTTTGCTTGAGCGGGCTCAGTAACGTCTCTATTGTGAGACTTGTTGTTACTGTGTTTGGCATATCAAATACGTCATCAGTAGCTTGCCAGGCTTTACTGGAAAAAAAAATTAATGCTGAGTTTAGCACATAAAAGTACATAAAGCATTAGAATGTGTCCCATGTAGTAAGGTGAGGTGTTGTGCAATCAAAGTTTGGTTTTAGTTGTCTTTTAAGAAAATAATTGTCAGTATGGGAAATAGATTAATAGTAAGATGTCCTGTTTAACAATAATCAAAAGTTGAGCTTTACACTAAACTCTCATTTTGAAAGCTACAATAATGACATTGGTATAATTTCATCTTTTCCCATCTTCTTTTTAAAACTGCTGTGTAAAAAAAAAACAGATACTAATGAAATGCTAAACAAAAGCTTCTTTGCTATTGTATTTATTAAGATAGGTGATTTGACTTAAAGAAGGAACTTTAACAAAAAAATTATCATGATTGTAGCTTTGGGCTATATTCCTAACCACTTAAAAACTTGAATTTAACCTTAAGATAGCTGATTAAGTAAATAAGAACAATTTACTTTCCTTGTTATAGCTTATGGGCTGGAGCGAGAGCACTGCGGTCAGGCGTTTGCCTTGCACATGGCTGGCTCGGCCAAGCCGGCTTCGATTCCTCCACCCCTCTTGGAGAGCCCAGCAAGCTACTGAGTATATCTCGCCCGCATGGCAAAGCCTGGCAAGCTACCTGTGACGTATTCGATATGCCAAACACGGTCACAACAAGTCTGAAAATGAAGATATTACTGGGCCTGCTCGAGCAAATCGATGAACAATGGGAGGACAGTGACAGTTATAGCTTATGTCTGTCATAAATCATAGTAGCTTGTGTTTGACATTTAACCTCTTAAGAATTTACCTTCGTGGAGCTGGGGCAATAGTACAGGGGACAGGGCCACCTGGGTGCGATACCTAGCATCCCATATTGGTCCCCAGAGCACCACCAAGAGTGAGTGAAGAGCCAGGAGTAACTGCTGAGCATCACCGGGTGTGAACCAAAAAGCAAAAATAAAAATTTACTCTCATGATCTCATTTCTGCTGACATCATTCTGATGTTATCACATAGATGCCAAGAAATGTAGATATTTCCATATTACAGATGAGAAAACATAGGTGGCTATTTGGGCATTAATCAGCAACACTAACAGAACCACTGTTTTACTATATCACTTCAGATTTCATATGTTGAAATTAAGATTTCTCCAAGACAGTTTTCATATTAGTGCTTTACATCTGAAACATTTACCAAATTTTTTTAAACAACTGTTCAGTGTTTAAATCAAGTAACTTCACAATCTGAATCAGCTAACTTCTCAGTGAAAAATTATACCACGAATGCATGGTAAAAAAAATGTTTAATATACATGCAACAAGTATAGTACATCAAGGAACAAAATACACATGGAAACATTAGCTTTTAACTCAGCATTCTACTTTGGGGAGGGTACGTGAACAACTACTTCCACCTTAAACTAAAGATTGAGACATCGTTGTTTCTTCATGCAAATGTTAACAAACTCTCTTCTAACGTGTGTATAATGAACAGTGTAGAAACCTGAATTCACATTAGCAGAATCTTTTACCAAGAGCTCCCAAGAAAGGAGGAAAAGTCATGATCCTCAGATGTCATATTTAAATCTGCATTTAGCAGCATATTAATATGCACAAATGACTACGTAGACAAATCTGAAAAATGTTCTCAATTATGGAGCCTTGAACATCTTCTATATTATAAAAATGTATGGAAAAATTTAAGTGTGATTTTGATTACTAAAGGATAATGCTAGTTGAGAATGGCCTGTGAATGACAAAGCATTTAAACATCCTGATAGTTCATAGGAAAGGAGCAAGAGTATTTAAGGCTAGCCTATAATTTCTGAAGTTCTCCTAAACCATTTCCTACTTTCCACCCTCCTCCTTAAAGAAATGAGGTTTCTTCAGCCTCATTTTACACCTTCCTCTCATTCACTGTGCTCTTTAAAAAATGCTTTGGATGCTTCATTCACAGTGAAGTATAAAAAAATTGAAAGTAGACTGTAGGTACATTGTTCAAGAATATTTGCATTTCTACAAGTACTAAAGCTAAAGCCTTAAGCTAAAGAAATAAAGCTCTTGAGTATGTTCTGATTTATCTAAGATAACCTATTTTAAGGGCTTCCAGGTCTCCTTTGTCCCTGAAATTATGCTGTTGAATTGTCATCTTAGAAGACTAGTCTTGTTACTATTATCTTAAATTCCAATTTTGAGAGTAAAGCTTTAAATGTTGCAGAGAACCACCACAGTCCTCCACTTCTAATACGAAGAATGAATGTGGTAAGTTTAGCTCTTCTTGCCTCCTCTCAAGAAAATAAATTGTTTTAGAAGAAACAGTTTTTCCATGTCTACCAAATGTCAAAGCTACTAATTGAGTATATGTTTTTATAATTAAAAAAAAATAGCATATGAAGTCCCCAGTAAGTATGGTAGCTTCTTCATGTAAACAATATATAAAACTTCTTTGGCACAACTGATCATGTTTTCCTCATATTACAATAGAAAATATACTTCATACTCATTTTCTCTTTCAATATGGTGGAATTTTGGGGGACAAAAGATATACTTATTTCAAATGTTGCAAAAAGATTTAAAATACGGCTCATAGCTTTTTTTTTGTTTTTTTTAGAAAAAAAAATTTTTAACCTGTAGAAATGTAATGTTTTTAACATCCATATCAATTTTAAAATGGGATTGTGGCACGACCAATGATAGAACCTGTAAACACATATGACCGATTCACTGTGCACAAGGAGAAAAGAACAGCTCTGCGGTCGGACATTCAGTATGAGTGATTATCCTGCTGATCCTTATTAAAAACATTGCAAACCCTGAACTGAATTTGAAATCTCTCCTGATAAAATATCTTTCAACATCTAGCCTACATTTTACATGTCTCCAACTTTTGAAGCATATTTGATCAGATTTTAAAATATACTTTTAAAGAAATCTAGGGGGATAATCAAACATTTATTAGAACCTAAGTGGCCTAAAATCTTGTAAAACACTTTCCCTATGATTCTAACAAGTTTCTTAGCTGCCCAAAGGCACATTCTACAAAATTTATAAAATATTCAGTGTGATGTTAACTTGATACTTAATGATAACCATTAAAGAAAAACTGAATAAGCCAGCAAGAAACTGCAGCTGAGAACCTTATCATAGTAAAAGTGAGGCATCAAATGCTAGAACCTAGGAAAAATTAATGCAAAGTAAAATAAGTAATTTTAGCTTTTTTCATGAATAAAAGCAAAAATACTTTGCTTTCATCTCTGGAATAAAACTTTCAACTAAGACTGGGATCATATTTAAATATATGAAAACCTACTGAATAATTGCAACATAGGGCTCATAGTGATTTATTAAATTAGAGGATCTTGGAAAAGTTTTTCAAAAGTTGATCCATTTTTTTAAACTTCCACAGTGACAAAAGAATTTTAAAATGAAAAATGGCAGGATCAATTTCTTATCATTCAGAAATTTACATGGAGTAGATGGAATTCTCTAATAAGCATTTGAATTCTAGAATAGGCCAGAACAATAGAAAATTCCAAAAGTTTTCCCAGCAGTCAGACGTAAGTGAAGAGAACATTTGCAACATACAAACTTTTGGTTTTTACATAAGATGTTTCAGGATGGAGTTAGGCCTGGACTTGTCATATCTGTAGTAGGACTTGCAAGGCAGTCATTGGATTTTAGGCTTGTTAGAGATTTGTAACTTGCCACTGACGTTAGAGAGCCACAGAGCCCAAGTAGTGAGGGGGTATCTTCTTTACCTGAAAATTTGAATAAAATAAATACTTGATTACCCTTGGAGAATAATGCCAATAGAATCTTTTCTTGATAAATGATGCCATAAAAAATTTCTAACCTGCAGACAAGATGGTAAACATATTTAACAAAATAATCAAAGACCTACATATTTATCAACACATTTCATTTTTTTATTAATTTTTTTATTTTTTAATGAGTCACCATGAGGCACTTTGTAAGGTTACATACTTACAAACTTTCGTGCTTTTGTTTCAGTCATACAATGATGGAGTGCCCATCCCCCCACTAGTGCCCATTCTCTACCAACAATGTTCCCAGTATCCCTCTCATCCCCCCAACATTTCCCCCTTCCACCCGCTTCTTGGTAGGCACATTCCCTTTTACTCTCTCTCCTTTAGGGTGTTGTGGTCTGCAATGCAAGTATTGAGTGGCCATCATGTTCAATCTATAGTCTATTTACAACACGCATCTCCCATCCCGAGCGGCCCTCTAAGCACCCTTTACTTGGTTGTCCCTTCTCTATTTGAACTACCTTTCCCTCAGCATATGAGGCTGGCTCCCAAGCCATGGAGCAAACCTCCTGGTACGTATCTCTACTATTCTTGGGTGTTAGTCTCCCATTCTGTTACTTTATATTCTACAAATGAGGAAAATCTTTGTATGTCTGTCACTCTCTTTCTGACTCATTTCACTTAACATGATACTTTCCAGGGGCTGTAGAGATAGCACAGCGGGTAGGGCATTTGCCTTGCACGCGGCCAACCTGGGTTCGATTCCAGCATCCCATATGGTCCCCTGAGCACCGCCAGGAGTAACTCCTGAGTGCAGAGCCAGGAGTAACCCCTATGCATCGCCAGGTGTGAACCAAAAAGCCAAAAAAAAAAAATGATACTTTCCATGTTGATCCACTTATATGCAAATCTCATGATTTCATCTTTTTTCTAACAGCTACATAGTATTCCATTGTGTAGATGTACCAAAGTTTCTTTAACTAGTCATCTGTTCTCAGGCACTGGGGTTTTTTCCAGATTCTGGCTATTAAGAACAGTGCTGCAATGAACATACAAGTGCAGACAACACATTTCATCTTTCAATAGTTTTGGTATCAAATTTTTAAAAAGAGAGGACTACTTGTGTTTCTCAAAAAAGTTTTGGCTATGGAAATTTGAGATGACCTTTTATAAAATCAAGGTTTACATAATGCCCAAAAGCAGAGACAGAATAAGAAGGAAATTGCCATAGACGCAGAGGGATCAGGTTGGGGTGGCAGGAGGGATGATACTGAGGTCTCTGGTGGTGGGAAATGTAAACTGGTGGAGGGATGGGTGTTCTATCACTTTATGACAAACTCAATCATTAAAGCTTTGTAATGATCTCATGGTGATTCAATTTTTTAAAAAAAAGTGGAGGGAAATAAAAAAATAGGTTTATCTTTTGGGGGTGGATATACTGATGTTCAGTTAGTAAAGAGTAAAAGGGATTTTTATTGTCCAGGTCATGTCAATACCAAGAAATTCACATTAAGATAAAGTAATGCCACAAAGATAGAACTACTTTGATTCAATAAGAGGACTTGATTTGGGGAGTCTTTATTCATTTATTGAGTGAACCTCCATTCATGCATCAGGAACTCTGCTATGTGCTGGATTTTAATGAGCTCAGGAAGGAGGATGGTAATGTTTCCACAGCTGGAGTAAACAAATTTCAGAGTAAGTTTCAACATGGTGTACCAATACCAGCAATAATTGGCTGTTTTCAGACTGAAATATATATATTTTAAAATTAGAAGATTTCCAAAGAACAAAAATTGCTCAAATTTTACTCAAAATTTTAGAAATGGAACTTCTACCAAGTAGCAGATACTCTATTGTTTTCTGATAGACCCTCTGAAATGCCCACTCTTGGTACGGTAGCCAATATTTTCACACTATCTGATCATTGTGGGACTGTCTCTTTCTTAAATTATAAGAATTGTTGGTTGTTGATTTTTTTTATTGTTTCAGGGAGCACACTTGGTGATGCTCTGGGCTTACTCCTAGCTTTACATTCAGGGATCACTTTTGTTTTACATTAGTATTTTTTCTTTTTTTTTGTTTTAATTTTATTGAATCACCATGAGATAGTTATAAGCTTTCATGTTTGGGTTACAATCACACAATGATCAAACACCCATCCCTCTACCAGTGCACATTTCCCACCACCAATATCCCCGGTATATACCCCCCTTTCCCACCCTCCTTCTGCCTCCGTGGCAGATATGATTCCCCATAATCTCTCTATAACTTTTGGACATTATGGTTTGCAATACAGACCCTGAGAGGTAATCGTGTTTGGTCCTTTACCTACTTTCTGCACACATCTCCCATCCTGACCGATTCCTCCAGCCATCTTTTTCTTAGTGATTCCTTCTCTATTCCAGCTGCCTTCTCCCCCTTTGCTCATGAGGCAGGCTTCCAGCTATGAGCAATCTATCTGACTCAGGGATCGCTCTTAACGAACTTGGGAGACCAAATAAAATGCTGGGGATCAAACCTGGTTTTGATGCACACAAGTTAAATACTTTACTGCTATGTTATCTCTCCAGCACTGTAAGAATTCTTTAAGGACATAGAATTTGTTTTTTCACTATTATATTCCCAGTTCTTAGTGCGAATTGACACATCAAATAATTATATAATTAGTGAATGGCCAAAATGATTAGGATGCAAGACAATTTTTAATTACTATTTGCCTGGGGGTATGGTGCCGCCAGCAGGTCAACCCATACCTGTGGGGCGAGTGCATCAGCAGCCTGATGGTGCCTTCAGACTTCAGATACCACAAAATTGCTGCTATGCCTTTGGCCAGACCCTAAGAACTTGAGGCCAAGTTTACCAAGAAATTTAATGGCCAAAAGTTAGGTATGTGGAAGACATAATCACAAACCACCTCCGGCTCAGCTATATAAGCTCATTTATTGGTCCTGTTTCAGAGACCCATAAATCTCAAAAGATATCAAAAGACACAGTTAGGGCCCATAGTACAGAGGCAGGCAGGAACCAGTGAATGAGAGCTCCAGGCCCGCCTGGATCAGGATTGGGTCTCCTCCACCCCCCCGCCATGTCCCCAGTTTTCCAGTAGCTTGGTAGTCACACCCACAAACTACCCCTGGCCTTATGTGATCTCATCAACAGCCAAGACCCAGGAACTATAAACTAAAACTCCCGAAAGAGAGCCCTGCAGAATGTTCTGGCTCCTCACTAGGCTGTCTTCACAGGGGTGCCCCAGGTGGGGGAGGGTGAGAGTCCTCTGGACTCAAGGGACCAAGCTCCAGCAGCCAAAGACCTCCACAACTCATCCGCTGCCACACTCAAGACCGCTCCTCACGCACTCAAGCCAAACCTCACACAAGTGAAGTCCTACAAAACCCAGGTAATGTGGAACTTTGTGACCTTGGTTTCTGGGCTCAACAGGACCAGGAGCAGAGATCCTCTGCCTGCTTTCCCCAGTCTCCAGCGACCCAGGGGTCACTACACCTCCTGCTGGTGCCAGATAATCTCGTTATCAGCCACCATCCAGATCACACAGTTGCTTCTCCCCAAAGGGAGCATAAAATGAGACCCCCATAACCGTGCCACCGGACTCCATGCCAGGCTATTTCACAAGGGGTGGCCCAGAGTGGGGTGGGTGAGAGCCCTCCCCCCACCCAAGGGACTCAGCTCCGGCAGCCCAAAACCTCCATAACCCAACCACCAAGCTCAAGGTCACTCCCCATGAGCTCAGGTCGAGCCTCACATATGAGTAAACAGGCAACATATCAAAAAAACACGCCCTACCCATTCTCCATAATTACCACACCACATTTGATAGGGTTTAGACAGTAGGCAACAATCATAGAGGGAAATATATATGCATATATGCATATTTTCAGATATATATACCTCAAAGCTCACATCATCCAAACTTTAACAACATGTTAGTGATATCCTATAGAATGTCTTAATGGCTCCTGCCAAAACAGAAAAATCTTCACACTGTTTTCTATATGAACACTTTTTTGTAAGCATGTTCAGCCGTTCTTCATTACAGACAACACGAAATAATACATAAATAATACGAAATGTATTATTTCGGTTGTGTTTTGGAACAGGGGTTGGGGTTTGGGATGGAAACATCCCGAATTTGGTGGTGGGAAGGTGTTTGAATATTGAATGCAATCAAACATTGTGAACTGACTTATAAAATTAAAAAAATAAAACAAAAAATGTGGAGTTCATGTCCAATTTAATCATCTTAATCAATGGCTGAATAAATCCTACATTAAAAAAATTACTATTTGCCTTTGGAATAGCATTTTTTCTGTCCAAACCTTTCTAAAATGATAATTTCAAAAGTCTAGTTATGTTAATTTCAGGGTTGAATTTTTTCTTGGCCTAGAAAATGATAACTGTTAGGAAAAGAATTATTGAAGAGTGACTGGTAAATTTCAATTTTAAATATTTGTAATGTGTGTGTCTTTTATAAAAAATATATTAGCTATGTTTAGGATTGATTTATGGCTTATGTGTCAGTATTCAGTACTGAAGACTGAAACTAGGGTTGGTCATATACAAGAAAAATGTTTCACCCCTGTACTATCTCCCTAGTTCCTGTCGTATAACAGGATCAAAATACAAATGTTGTAAGCACCCTTCAAATGTTTAAGAATTGAGAGAACCAATTCAAATCAAACTCATCGCTCCAGAGTTGCTACTAAATAATTCAATAGCTTTGGATAGTCTCTACAAATTTCTCCTACTAATCCCTAATTTTGTGAAGAGATTTGCTGCTCATATTTAGGTAAAAAAAACTTCCTTATTGTCATATGTTCCAATTTAACCATTTTAAAGCATAAAATTCTTTGGCATTAGTTCATTCACAGAACAGTACCATCATTATTTCCAAAAGTTTTCACCCCCTCAGAAATCCCATATGTAGATAATTCTTTCTATTCTCCTCTGGGTCTCTGAGAACATTTAATCTA